CATCCCGGGAAGAGAGGCCGTGTGAAAGACGCGAAAGAATTCGTTAAATCGCTCGCTTCGTATGGCAATACACAAGAACGTGCACCGGCTGTTCCCGACTCAAGAAGCGTCGGGGACAGCAGGTATTGTGTACGCCGATTATGGCAAAAGGGCTCTGCAAAACCCGTCCCACGGGGCCCGGCCGCTGCGAACGGATCTCGGAGCGTTTAACGAGTGCCTTATTTGTTGAGCGCGTACATGTTAGGCTCGGTGCCGCTCGCGCGTATGTACATATATGTACCGGGTACTACACCGTGGCTACGCGACAGACGCTATAGTTTTCCGTTCGATGGCGCGGAAACGACGGCGGACCTCGTATCTCGTCGCGAAGTCGGCGAGCGGTGAGAGCTATAAAGACTTGTCACCTGAGAATGCGGACAGTGACGGCGACGGCGGCGGCGGCGGCGGCGGCGACGGCGACCTGGCATTAAATACCTACGGCGTTCCTATCGCGCGTTTACGCCCGCCTTGCTTCTGAAAAAAAATGCCACCGCCAGAACCCGCCGGGGATTTTTGCCGCGCGCGTTAACCCGTTCGGCTGAGAAGGAACACTTCGCCGTGAAACTGTAACAGAGAGAATGTATGCGATTAGTATGTACGCCGAATCTCTCTTTGCGCACTGCTGCGAATCGCGCGAAGGATCTATCGATAGAAATTGCTACGCGATAGAAATGGGACATATTGAATATGCATGTTCGAGTAGACCAAACGTCCCAGTAAAAAGGGAACATTAAATTAACGTTTAGAAACGTTGACTTTATGTGCATTAGGGTGTTCCGGAAAAACCAAAGTATCTAAAATCTTTACTCCCCAGGCATTTTCTGGTGATGCCTGGTCTAAAAACTCAAAATTAAAAATTTTGGTCCAAAATTCCAATTCTAACCCTTGTCCCAAGAAGCATAAAGTTTACGCTTTTCGCTAATTTTGGCGTATTATTTTACATTTTTTAATTTAATGTAGTGATTGGGTATTATTATTGAATTAAGGCTTCTATTCTATTCTATTCTATTCTATTCTATTTATTTTCAACACATAATTACTTTAAAAAATAAGAAATTAACTTTGTTTCGTATTCTATGTACAAATAACAAATTTTAAAATACCTCAAATGTAAGGAATATAAAAGGTTTTCTTGCAATATTTTGAGTAAAGATATTAAATGTTACTGAAGAGGAATAATTGAACATTTAATTTTAAAACAAAGATTTTTATTTTGAACAGTTGTATTTTCATAATATACGTTGAACATTACAAGAAGTGGATAATGTTAAAGTTCAGTACATTAATAGGCTACTTAAGTATTTCAAATGTTCAAAGTTTTTTTAATGTAGATTTCTTGAAGTCGCTGAAACTTCGTCTATGGCTTTCAACTGATTGCAAAATATTTTGTTTATTTTGTTCATCCTTTGATAAAGTTAATGAAAAGTCTTGCATTAGTTTCACCCCTCTCTCGGCAACATCGTTAACCACTCATATTTTTTAAGAAGATTTTAGCCTTGACGTACTCTTCATTTTGTTCCCATTTTTTCACCGATGTACTTAGCCATTCGCTACCAATGCCAAGAACTTTAAACAACAACCAAGAATTTTTCTCAATCAATGATGATAATTTAGTATTTTTTGTCACTATTGGAAAACTAGGTACACCTTCCTTTAATTCAAATGGGATTAGAAACGTTGACTTCATGTGCATTGTTTGGACATTTTTTAATAATATTGCATTTATATTTTTCATATGTTATTTTGTGATATGATTTTTCTGAATGTTATTTAAACGTTTTAAAAACATTACAAAAAATTCATTTTAAAATTTATTTTAAAAAAATATATTTTTCAAGTGTTACTTTAACATTTATTTAAGATCAATGCAACATCTTAAAAATATTTCTGCCGATTAAAACATTATGGCAACTCTATTTGAACATTATTGAAACTTTCAAATCGCGGTTAAAGTATGTTCATAATGATGTTTAATACAATATTAAACACTACATATTTGACAATATTACAGGTTCTTGAACATCATTGTAGCAACGTTGTACTAATGATTTCTGCTTACTGGAATGCTATATTAAAATCATCATGTATTAAAAAAGCCTATAAACTAACCTATATGTGTCATCATGTACTAAAGAAAGCTTATAAACTGTGTCATAATGTACTAAGAAAAAGCCTACCCAGTAAACA